CCATCTGGTCCTGCTTCCCACCAACAGCTGGTTCAGCTCCTCTAAGGAAAATGGACAAGTATGGCATTAAACCTGACAGTCTCTACATTTTTTGTATATGTCAAGTTAATGTTTTGATCACGTTATTCTAAAGTTGCTTCGTCCAGGTTGACTCTCCCTTATCTGAAAATGTTCCAAAATTGATTTTTGTTGCTACCAGCCATTTGCTTCCACCTTTGGGGAAAGGGGGCTAGTTACACATCCAGTGCCCACTGAGCAAGAATCCCTAACATGAGAAAGCAAAAAAGTGGGAGGACTCCACTTAACACAAGGCTTCTTGAAAAAGCAGACATTTCAGAGCTACCATCTTTGCCTTCTGCCCAGCCAATGGTGACACATAGTAGGGCAGCACCCTGAAAATTGTGAAAATGACTGCACAGAAAATCCCTTTTGCCCCCACCTGTATCCAGAAAGAACAAAAAAAGACTTGTGGAGGAGAAACTTCTCCCTCTCCAGGCTGTATGGCCATCTTCCATAAGCATTCTCACCTGATGTTTTGCCCACACCTATGGCAGGCACCCTCACAGGTTGTGAGGTCTGCTGGAAAAGGGCAAGAGGGGTTTATATAGCTGTGGGATGTCCAGGGAGGAAGAACTCTTTTCTGCTTAAGGTAGGTGTGACTGTTGCAATTGGCCAGCTTGATTAGCATTGAATAGCCTTGCAGTTTAAAAACCTGGCTGCTTCTTGCCTGGGAGAATCCTTTGTTAGGAGGTTAGCTGGCCTTGATTGTTTCATGTCTGGAATTCCCCTGGAACAACATGAGTGTTGTTCTTTCTTTACTGTCCCAATTTTTAATTTTTATTTAGTTTGTATCACCCATTTCCCTCACAACATAAATCAAATGCTTAAAACACACCTATTTCTTTGATGTTTTTTTTTGTGTTGAATCTGCACTCTGTACTCAGCATCCACACTTTCGAATTAATGCAGTTTGGCACCACTTTAACCACCATAGCTCAATGCTAGGGAATCATGGGAGTTATACTTTTACAAGGACTTTTCTGCCAACCAAACAATAAATCCCATGATTCCATAGCACTGAGCCAACACAGTTCAAGTGGCACCAAACTGCATTAATTCTACATCCACCAATGAGAACAATACAAGGCTCCTAATTTCTCTCCAGTTTTAGGTTCTTCCTGGTTTTTGTGCCTTTAAGAGTTACCTGAAGACATAGGAAGCTCGCTTGGCAGGAGATAACATGGTAACCTTGATAAGAACTAACAAGAGACAGACCGTGTTACTGAGTTTTGATCTCCTTCCGGCTTTAGCAGCCAATTAAAGCTTTGAAATCCAAGCTGGTGCCCACGCAGCTCTTTCCCCAGATCCAAAGGCAAAGCACATGCACCAATCTGAGCTGGCTCCAGCCCATAAATCAAAGGATAGTGAATAAATATATTTGTTTATCTTGTCATAGTGTATTATAATTGTATTATATTAAATAGCCAGTGTGGTGCACTGAACTATGACTCTGAAGAGGAAGGGTACTTCTACACTGTAGAATGAATGCAGTTTAACTGCCTTGGCTCGCTGTTCTGGACCTCTGGGAGTTGGGCAGGGGCAGCTTAAGGCCTTGCAAAACTACAACAGCACTGAGACATGGCTGTTCAAAGGGTGTCAAACTGCTTTCCTTCTACAGTGGAGGTGCTTTCAGTCTCCAGGTGATGGAGTGATGGGAGTTATAGTTTGGCCAGGCCCTTAACTTTCCCTGCCAAAGAAGGCTGGTGCCTCATGAAACTACAAACCCCGCGAGTCCATAGCATTGAGCCAAGGCAGTTCAAAGCTTCATTAATTCCACAGATGCAATTGAAGTTGTATGAGCATGAATGCATTTCCTCAGCCAGCGCTGCTCTTGAAGGTTTAAAGGTGTATGCATCTCTCCACCTTCCTGAATATGGATTATATGGCAGTTAGACTCTGAGCCCTTCCACACAGATGACTAAAATCCCACATTTTCTGATTTGAACTGGGATATATGGAATTGTGGACTCAGGGCCCTTTCACATAGCCCTATATCCCAGAATATCAAGGCAGAAAATCTAACAATATCTGCTTTGAACCAGGTTATCTGTGTCCACACTGCCATATATTCCAGTTCAAAGCAGATAATGTGGGATTTCCTGCCTTGATATTCTGGGTTATTATAGCTGTGTGAAAGGGCCCTCAGGCCCCTTCTATACTGCCATATAAAATCCAGATTATTTGCTTTGAACTGGATTATATGGCAGTGTAGAAGGGGATGGTGTTAATTATTCAAGTACCTTTAGGATAGTGATGTGTTTCTATTTGTCTGTGTCTTCTTGTCTTTGGTCCCTTCTCCACTGCCACATAATCCAGGTTGTTGCAGCAGAAAATCCACATTATTTGAATTGAACTTGGATTATCATAGACCCCTTCCACACAGCTGTATAAAATCCCACATTTTCTGCTCTGAACTGGGATATATGGCAGTGTGGACTCAGATAATCCAGTTCAAAGCAGATATTGTGGGATTTTCTGCCTTGATATTCTGGGTTATAGGGCTGTGTGGAAGGGCCCTGCATCTACACTACCACATAACCCAGTTCAAAACAGATAATGTGGATTATATCCAGCTGTGTTGGGCCCCTTCCACACAGCTGAATAAAATCCCTCATTGAACTGGATTATCTGGCGGCGTGGACTCAGATAGTCCACTTCAAAGCAGATATTGTGGATTATCTGCCTTGCCTTGATGTTCTGAATTATATGGCTATATTCTTGAGACTAAACATGCCCAGCTCTTTAAGCCGCTCCTCATAGGGCTTGTTCTCCAGACCCTTGATCATTTTAGTCACCCTCCTTTGGACACATTCCAGCTTGTCAATATCTCTCTTGAATTGTGGTGCCCAGAATTGGACACAATATTCCAGGTGTGGTCTAACCAAGCAGAATAGAGGGGTAGCATTACTTCCCTAGATCTAGTCACTATGCTCCTCCAAGATCATTTACCCGCCCCACTCAGGGTCACCTAAGTCTGAAATGACTTGAAAGCACACAACAACAACAATTCTATCTCATCAGCCAAATGCAGGCCCACACTTCCCATTCTTATATTTGTTAAAATTGTCCTTCATTTTGATTATTGTATTGTCTTAAGTGTTGTTTTGTAGGCCTGGGTAACAACGGAAAAATTTGTTTCTAAAATCGATTCGTTTTTTGGGGGTTTCTGCGTTTCGTTATTTAAAATAATTACAAAATTTTCCTTTTAAAAAGTTCGATATTTACGAAATTTCGTAAATGTGAAAAAAATTACAAAACATTAACGAATCGATTTCCGAAACAATAACGAATCGATTCGTTAATGGCGGACGCGACCGCGAAATACGCTAAAAAAACCTCCAAAAACTTCTGAAGCTTCCCTCTCCCTCTGTTGTTGACTGTTGGTGTGATATTATAATTTTTTTTCACTAATTAAACAAAAAACTTGCCCCAGACATGCGGAAATAATAATGAAACGACCTCAGAACAATAACGAAACGAATACAATAACGAAATACGAAGCATTTACAAAACGTGTTTAAAAATTCGTTTTTTAAAAAAATTGCTCCAGAATGGTTTGTTATCGTTTTGTAATTGAAAAATTAACGAATTATTAACGAATTACGAATTAACGAAACGAAACCGCCCAGCCCTAATTTTTACACTCCTTTAATGATCACGGGCAGTGTGCATAGGAATTCATTTTTTTTTTCAAATTATAATCCAGTCCTCCAACAGTTTGAGGGACTGTGACCTAGCCCTGTTTAAAAAGTCTGAGGACCCCTGATCTAGACACTATGCTCCTATTGATGCAGGCCAAAATCCTATTGGAATGTAAGTTCTTTAAAAGTAAAACCCTAACCCTAACCCAGGGGTCCTCAAACTAAGGCCCGGGGCCGGATACAGCCCTCCAAGGTCATTTACCTGGCCCTCAGTCAGGGTCAACCTAAGTCTGAAACTACTTGAAAGCACACAACAACAACAATCCTATATCATCAGCCAAAAGCAGGTCTACACTTCCAATTGAAATACTAATAAGTTTATTTTTGTTTAAATTGTTCTTCATTTTAATGAGGATGCTTGCCATAGATACAGGTGAAACGTCAGGAGAAAATGCCTCTAGAACAGTGGTCCCCAAACTAAGGCCTGGGGGCCGAATGCGGCCCTCCAGGGTCATTTACCCGGCCCTCACTTAGGGTCAACCTAACTCTGTAACGACTTGAAAGCACACAACAGCAATCCTATCTCATCAGCCAAAAGCAGGCCCACACTTCCCATTGAAATACTAATAAATTTATATTTGTTAAAAATTGTTCTTCATTTTAATTATTGTATTGTTTTAAAGTGGTTTTTGTACTACAAATAAAATATATGCAGTGTGCATAGGAATTCATTCACGTTTTTTTCCAATTATAATCCGGCCCTCCAACAGTTTGAGGGACTGTGACCTGGCCCTCTGTGTAAAAAGTTTGAGGACCCCTGCTCTAGAACATGGCCATATAGCCCGGAAAAACCTACAACAACCTATAATCCGGCCCTCCAATAGTTTGAGGGACTGTGACCTGGCCCTCTGTTTAAAAAGTTTGAGGACCCCTGCCCTAACCCTTCACCCTAACCCTCCCCTCCTTTCTATCCTTCCTCCAACTGCAACTACGAAGTATATTCCCGCCCTTCTCAGAGTGCGGCTCTCCCCTTCCCTTATTCACAACCGCTTTTGCGGAATGTGCGTAAGGCTGGGAGCTTCCAGACCTAGGTATCACACTATCCCTCTTCTGAGGTCTGGAGGTGGAGGAAAGCAAGCCACCTCAGACTGGAGGTGAGGCGGAGGAATTGGAAAGCTTGCAGGGAAAAAAAGGAGAAAGGAGGCGGGCCCAGGAAGGGAAGGGCTTGGAAAAGAGGAGGAGGACGGAGAGAGAGAGGGAGAAAGAGAGAGAGAGAGAGAGAGAGAGAGAGAGGAAAGGCTCTTTATGGGCTGGGAGGAGGAGGAGGAGGCGTGGTGGTCTTTCGGGGCGGGAACGGGAGCGAGGGAAAGGCTTTTTTCCCTTCTTCCTGAGGAGAGCCAGAGCGCGGCAGAGGAGGAGGAAGAAGAGGAGGGCGGCTTCGTCTCAGGGAAGGAAAAGAGAAGGAAAGAAAGAAAAGAAGGAAGGAAGGAAGGAAGGAAGGAAGGAAAAAAGAGGCGCGAGCCAAGGAGATCGGGGCTTGGATTTCTTTTCTCCCCGGGCGACGAGGAAGATGGTCTTCTGGAGGGCGCGGATCCTGGGCGCGGTGGTGCTCTGCTTCCAGGCGGCGGCCGTCCTGGCGGTAAGTCCCTCCCTCCCTCTCTCCCTCCATCTCTTTACCTATCTCTCCCTCCCTCCCTTCACCCAGCCCAGGAGGGGGTGGCCATTCCCCTCGTGGAGGCTTCGAGGCAGCCCTCGCCTTGCCCTCCCGCCTGCTCTGGCTCAACTGGTTGCAGCTGAGCCTTCCCACATGGTCCTCCTGGGAGAGTTTCAACGCCCTCCCAAAAAGTGGCTTTCTTTCTTGCCTTCCTTCCACCCGCGCCTATTGTGTCCATCTAGGCGGTTGCTGCTGCTTCTGCTGCCCCCAAAGGCTTAATTCGAACCAGACTTGGGAGCCTCATAACTTGACTGGAATTTCCCCCCTTCCTCAGCCTCAAAGGGTTTTCCCAGCCCCCCTTTCCCCCTCCTCTCCTTGCCTTCTCTCTCTGGCCTCCTTTGCCACCTCCTTCCCCTTCCTTGGCTTCTACACTGTAGTGTGAATGCAGTTTGACCCCATTTTGACTGCTCTCTCAAGGCTATGACTTCTTTGAGGGCCCCTTCCACACAGCCCTGTATCCCAGAATATCAAGGCAAGGCGGAAGGGCCCTAAGACACAACTGTCTTCTGAATCTGCAGCCCCTTCTACTGTCACCCAAACTATCAGATAATCCATATTATCTGCTATCAGCTGGATTGTATGAGTCTACACTGCCAAATATTCCAGTTCAAAGCACATAATCTGGATTTCATATGGCAGTGTAGAAGGGGCCAAAGCTCCACAGACAACAGAGGGGAAAGCACCGAGAGAAAGAAAAACAATCATGAAATCTTCAATGGGGTTGTCTAGTGAGGTCTTCAGCCTTCTTTGGCCAGAAAGTGTTGGTGCCTCACCAAACTCTCAGGATTCCATAGCACTTAAACCACCTTGATTCTTCTGTGTAGATGTACCCCGAGGTTACCGGCCCAAAGCATAACCCCAGGAGTTGATGTACCTTGCCCCATTTGCCATGGCTGGCTCTATCCTGTTTTCTTTACCTGTGCAGTATCAATGGTACAACTTGAGGGCCTTCCACACAGTTATACAACCCAGAATATCAAAGCAGATAAACCACAATATCTGCTTTGAAATGGATTATCTAAGGCCCCTTCCACACAGCTGAATAAAATCTCACATCTACTTTGAACTATGGCATTGTGGATCCAGATAACCCAGTTCAAAGCAGATATTGTGGGATTTTCTGCCTTGATATTCTGGGTTATATGGCTGTGTGGAAGGGCTCTCAGTTCAAAGCCTATTGTGGGATTTTCTGCCTTGACATTTTGGGATAGAGGGCTATGTGGAAGGGTCCTGAGTCTACATTGCCATATAATCCAGTCCAATGTGGATTTTATACAGCTGTGTGAAAGGGGCCTCAAGGTGTACATGTTCACACTAGGTCCTTCCACACAGCCCTATATCCCAAAATATTGAGGCAGAAAATCTCACATTATCTGAGTGTGGACTCAGATAACCCAGTTCAAAGCAGATATTGTGGGATTTTCTGCCTTGATATTCTGAGAGATAGGGCTGTGTGGAATGGCCCATTGATTCAAATACATGTGTAAAATGACTATCAAGTTATGTGTGTATGGTATATATGATTTTATATGTAGACTTGGGCCCCTTCTGCACAGCCATATAACCCAGGATATCAAGCCATATAACCCAGGATATGTGTCTATGTTGCCATATATTCTAGTTGAAAGCAGAAAATGTGGGATTTTATTCAGCTGTGTGGAAGGGGCCTCAGATAATGCAGTTCAAAACAGATATTGTGGATTATCTGCCTTGATATTCTGAGTTATATAGCTGAGTGGAATCCCATCTCCAAAGTTTTTTTCATGATATATTTGCAAATTTCCCAAAATTTGACCAAGAAATCTAATCGCTTCTGGTAGTTCAGAGAAGAGGGACTCAACTGATTGCTTTTACACTTGGGTGTGTGAGTAAAACCCCATTCGTATCCAGACCCTTCTTTGTAGGACAGGGGAGAGTCAGCCTGAAAGATAGTAGCAAAGTAGGGAGTGCCATGTCACACCTTACAAAATCCTTGCGTGGGAAGCAGTGCTGTGTAGTAGTTAACATGCTATAGATGTCGCTAGTGATGCGTGCCAAAAATCTTACATGTGTGTAAATGCCAGCATGCAAAGGGCATGCTTTGTCACACCTTAGAGACTTAACTGAGACAATGCAGTTGGCAGCATAAGCTTTTGCAAAAGCCTACTTCCTCAGATGTAAATATGTGTGAAAGGAATCGGACTTTCCAGTGACTTCTGGATGTATGTCACTGGTAGTTTGCTATTCACTCCACAGTGAGTGGTACAATGAACGTAGTACTATATCATTTGGTGGCAACGAGCTGTTGATTGAAAATTGCAGTGATTACTAGCACTTTGACATATGCCACTTCTTGACCCAAGGCAGATAAATGACAGGTGCATTTTCCTAGCTTCCTGAGTTGAACTAGCACGGGCTTTTCTTCTATACAGGTACACAAACTTTGACTTTGGAAAATGTGCTACACTCTGAGAAGCAGATAATGCCCTCTTCTCAAGCAAAAGAGAAGGATTGTTGAAGGCTTTTATGGCCGGAATCACTGGGTTGTTGTAGGTTTTTTCGGGCTGTATGGCCATGTTCTAAAAGCATTCTCTCCTGACGTTTTGCCTGCGCTTGTGGCAAGCATACCAACAACTCAAAAGAGAAGGAGCTTCCCAGGGTGTAAACAGCTACACAGATCCTTACAGCAGAGTATAAACTTGGAAATTTATGCCACTTTTTGGAGAATCCAGATAAAGTAAAGGGCAGGGTTTTCAATGTTTGAAAGAGCAGAGCTCCTCAACACCCAAGCTTAGAGGCAGAACAGGTCTTGCCTGTGTGTTAAGAAGTAGTATATTTTTCTGTTATTTCCTTTCCAAGGAATACATAATTGGTCAAACAGTTCAGGTACAAGCTGCTAAAAGCTTCCTGCCTTGATTATATATTGTAAAAAGCACACTGTCTTGGTCTTCTGACAATTAAACATAATGATTAACTTGGTTTCACCATATGTCATACAAAGAGGACAGAGGTGCTTGTTAGCTGCCTGCAGGTTTTTTCACTGGCACCTCACAATGGGACTCTTAGTTTCTTTCTTCCTCTGGCTGCCAGGCTTGTAACCCGAATCTGTCAGTATTTAAGCAGGCCGCTGGCACCCTCTTCATGAGACCTGTTGCTGAGTGCTTGGCATGGTAGGGACTCCTGTTGTATTCAGGCAAGCTTCTGTGAGATTCACTTCCAAAGGAGAGTGCTCAGAATCACACTGCTTATAAATTGGAAATGGAAGTCTGACTCTTCAATCTATGGGTCTCAATTGGCTCTCAATCTATGGGTCTCCATATGTTTTGGCCTTCAACTCCCAGAAATTCTAACAGCTGGTAAACTGGCTGGGATTTCTGGAAGTTGTAGGCCAAAACACCTGGGGACCCACAGGCTGAGAACCACTGCACTTGAGAATGAATTCACTTTAAATCTGGTTTCTGCTGCCTGCAGAAGCCAGATTTTTGAATTCTGGAGTTTGTAGTTTAGTGAGGTTGTTAAAGGCTCCTCCCCAAACTAGAAACTCCAGAATTCTGCAGAAGGCAGAAACCGAATTTTAAGTGGATTCATTCTCTAGTGTGATGAGGTCATGAAGCTTTTGAATAGATTGTGTCAGTACTTTTTTGTGTTTCTTGTATGGGATATTTTCACCTCCACAATGAAATTGGAGATATGTTTTCGGATAATATTTTAATTTAAATCTGTGTTCTGAAGGGTTGTAGCTCATATTATCTAGCTTGTAAATAGTTGTAGCTCATATTATCTAGCTTGTAAATTGCTAGATTAAATTGCTAGATTATTCCAACCTGTTGTTATGTGACTTCAAACTGTTTCCGGTTTAGGGAGACCCTAAAGTGAAACTATCTTGAAATGTTACCATTGTCTCTCCCCCCCCCCCCCCCCCCCGCCCCCTTTGAGCACTGCAGCCAGCAGGTGTCACCAGAGAATCAACAATTCCCTGCTCATACCTTTCTGCCACTCCCAGAATCTCAAACTTTACAGATTTATTTATAGGAAAAAAAATCACATTTTTGAGCTGAAGCATTTACCAATACAGCACAAAGCTCTCGATTTACAAAGGGCAGTGTGCTAGAAATGTGAACAACAATGTCACTTGTTCTTGGTAGAGATAAGTATAATATGCCTTTTGGGTAAACATTGTACTATAAATGGCACGGGAGTTGTATCCCACATTGAGTAGAAGTGAATTAATGGTTCATAAGTTTTGATCCCCAGAAATGTTGGACATCAACCTCGAGATGCCCAACAGTCCAGTCAGGAATTCTGAAAGGTCATGACTGGAAGACTGAATATTGAGAACCACTGGACTAAATGACCCTAAAAGACTTTTCAGTTTGAAAGTCTGAATTTTGTGATGGCTGGCTCCTTGATTTCCTATGTGTTAAGTCATGTGAAATGTCTCACTTTGCAGAGATGTCAGGTGACTTGGAGCATTTCTCCAGTCTCTCATTTGAGAATTAATTGGCACATGGGACATACATCATTGCAGTTTCTATATATATGTGTATAGCTTGGGCATTCCTTATTAGGAGTAGAGAAATCAAAATACAGTACTTCCAAAATAGTTCACACGGGTGACTTTGCTTTCTTTCTTTGAGTGTCAGGAGTGACTTGAGGAACTGCAAATCGATTCTGGTGTGAGAGAATTGGCCGCCTGCAAGGACATTGGCCAGGAGATGTCTGGATGTTTGACCATCCTGTGGGAGGCTTCTCTCATGTCCCCACATGGGAAGCTAGAGCTGACAGATGGGAGCTCTTCCCACTCCCAGGATTTGAACGTCTGACCTTTTGGTCAGCAGTCCTGCCAGCACAAGGGTTTAACCCATTGAACCACCAGGGGCTCCACGTGAGTGCCTGCAATAGGGGTACTTTTGCTTTCTGATAATTTATATACACAAATTTTCATG